CTCCCAGCATCCCTCGGGTATTGGCTGAGCGTGGTTACCTCGCCGTTCGCGCCTCAAGCTAATCCCCCTGTCCGTGGTTAATTAGTTTCCTGGGTCCTCCCCTCCCCCGACCAAGAGCAGCCAACGCAACTGAGGGCGCTTCCGATGCACACGAAAATCCCGTATATACAGATCAGTTTCCCCTTTTTCACGGCGCTTCCTGAGATGTTCTAATGCAGTTTTCAATTTACTGCGCTGGTCTGGATCAAGATTCCTGAGGAATTGCACCGGAGTTCTCTTCAGCTTGTGGGTCCTCTGGAGTATCGCTTTAGACTCGCTTTCTGCGGGCTCAAACACACAGAAATTGTAGACATCTGTATCCGCCCCTGAACAAGTGCTAAAGGAGTTGAACAACTTGTTCCTTTTTACCATTCAGTGTCTGAACGCGCCGTTCGTTTCACTTTTAACGTATGCTGAGACACTTACTGAAATGCCATTCGCATTATGAATCTTGCCATGTTGGCTGCCATGAATTGTTTGAGTTTCAAAATCGAGCATTGTTCTGCTTCTGAGTATCTCTGATAATACGTGCCGCCAATAACCATTTTTATACCCACTTGTATTCCCATTGATGAATCCATTGTTTAAACAAAATGTGTGCACTTCTGCTTGTCATGCACACCACAGCAAATGTTGTTTGTGCCCAGCTTTGAATGTGCCTGCTCGAATGGTAAGTTCGTAATTGGAATAGACAGATTGTCATCTTGCCCTAACTGGGGCGAAGAACCGACAGCAGGCATTTACTGGAAGACTAAATGACATCGTATTATGCTGATCTCGTTTTTTCTTCAAATAATCCATTAGAGGGCACACCCATAAAAACCATACTGTCGATAAAGTTGCACGAGACAGACGGATAGTGAGGAATGGCAAATCCAGTGTGATTGATGTGAAGAATCCGTGAGACACAAAACATTTACGATGGGACATTTGAAACGAGGCAAACATTTCTCAATTGAAACGAACCATCGAATACATGTGCACTGATTACAACTGTGTGTTACTCACAGAAAGCCAGATTTGTGTCGAATATTAGTGACGAAAGGTCGCTACGCTGAATTAATATGACGACCTAAACGACAAAGTAAAGTAGAACCAATCCATGGGTGCCTGGTTTCTCGGACCGCGTAGTGTCACGTCCACATCAACCGGTACGAAATTCAGAAAGGATCCGTCAACAAATAGAAGAAATCACAAAAAAGAACACTGCTCGTGACGAAAACTTGAAAAAACCAAGTGTGATGATTGTAGTAGCACTAGTAGTAGTACGCACGGAATTCGCAGTGGCACGAGCTCGAAATAACCCAGGTGAACGAGATGCAAGGAAAAGGTCACAAAAAAAGTGGTACGTAGTTAGCTCATTGGAAGAAATGAAGACGATTAAATAATATGTACAAAAGAAGATTATTGGATATCGAGGCGTCCACCAATCGGATTGCAATACTGCTTGCCTAATTCTTCTTCTTTCCGTACTGCCTCGGATTGGCTGGCACGATCGACCCATGACGTGTAGTCAGAAGCCATGCGCGTGTCATTGACATCATCTTTCAAATTTGATTGATCGGAAGTGCCCAGAAACTGTAACACGCCTGCCCCAGGGTAGGCGTCATAACGTAGGCCTGGATCGCCACAGGTCTCCTCCCTCAAAAGAGCTTCATCAAATTGGCTGGGTCGTCGGAGTGCCAGTGGGGTATTCTTGTCCGTAGGTATTCCCGGAATAAAGGGCTGCTGCCTTTGATGTTCTGTAGTTATTGACGGCGTGTCACAAGGCGGGTTTTCTGAGGTTTCTTCTGCAGAGTCTACTTCCGAAGTGGGAGTTTCCTTGAAGTGAATTCGATCGATGTGGTGTCGATGAACCGTCGTATTTGTTAGATCTATGATTTCGACCGTAGCTTGGCCAATCTTGCGGGTAATTATGCCTTTTGATGGTCACAGGCCGTTTCCTCGGAAATATAGGCCGTCACTTGAATCCATGCATCGTAGTGACCGTAAGCCTCTGGCTTTGAACAGTTTCACTGGGCTCTCTTTGGTGGTAACATATGCGGCATTCCTGTATTGCAGCAGGAAGTTATCTAGGAGTATCTCCAACTTCTAAATTGTCCTTGGATTTATAGACGAAATGGCACTCTTCACCGTTTTCAACAGGTTTTCTGCTGCGCCTTTCGAGAAGGGGTGACGTGGTGGCGAGCGCAAATGTCGGCAGCCAATACTGTCCAGCCAAGTTTTCAATTCCACAGCGCGGAATTGTGATTCATTGTCAGTCACCAACACCTGAGGAATACCTTCTCGAATGAAACACGTTCGCAATACTCGCATCACAAACAATGTGGTTGGTGAGCTGGTTAGAAATACTTCATGCCACTTTGAGTACCAATCGATAAGTACTAGCGCGTGATAGTGACCACAGAAGTCGGCGTGCACGCGTCGCCAAGGAATGAAGCTTCCTGGCCATGGTGCCCAATTGTTCGTTTTGAGCTGTGCTTTTTTATCTATGCTTCGCAGCTCTTAGCGGTTAGGCCAATGTCTTCATCTAGACCGGGAATTGTTTTGCCCGGACGGTGCACTATATCGTAGTTGTACGCAGCCAATGCAATGCTCCATCGCTGAATCATGGCCACTGTCGGTTTGGAAATTGACTTTTGTGGACTGAATAGATATTGCAAAGCTTGATGATTGGTTACGATGGTGAAACGTAATCCAAACAGGAATTTATGCAGGCGTCGGCCGGCCGAATATACAGCCAATGCTTCTTTCTCTGTCTGCGAATATCCTCATTCTACCGTGTTCAATAGACGATGGATGCAGACAATCACATATCCGTCCTGTTCGAGTACGGCACCAACTAACATCTGATACGTCGGTAATCAAAGATGAGTGTTTCTTCGGAGAGAACGATGACAGTACTGGTCGGTCAGTTCACATCTGAATGATTTCATGCAGTTGTTCACACTCGGCAGTCCATCTCCACTCTGTAGTCGACTGAGCAGTGAGCAGCGGTTGAGCTTTCGTGGCGAAGTTCGGGATGAAACGTGAATAGTATTGGATCTAAGTTGGTTTTCGTCTCACGGTGACTCCAATTCAGTCAGTATGCGGAAACGACTCGGATCAGGACTGTAGCCTTTTGCATCCACTGTGAAGCCCAAGAATTCCAATTCTGGTGAACTCAAAATGCATTTAGAAGTGCAAATTGACTGCTGGGCGAAACGCTGCAGTAGTTTGAAGAGTCTATCGTCATACTCGGCCTTCGTTGTACCAAACACAATGACGTCGTCCTGATACGCTAACACGCCATTGAGTCCGCGAATGACTTCGTCAATAGCCGCCTGCAATAGTCCTGAAGATGTGGGGAGACCAAACGGTAGGAAGTTGTATTGATATAGTCCTCACGGTGTGTTTATGATGGTGAACTGCCGTCAGGCTGAAGTGAGAGAAATCTGGAGGTACGCATCAGCAAGTCGATCTTCGGGAGGCATACAATGCTTTCACGAAATCCTTCAGCTCCATGGTGGTAGCCGCACACTTTCGCAACCACGGTTTGAGGGTTAACCGGTAATCGCCACAAATTGACAGTGTTTTGCCGTCACTTTTGATCGCGATCACAAGTGGCATTGCCCACGTACTGGATGTGACTCGGGTGATTACGCCGTCGCACTCCATTTTCTCAAGGGCCTGCGGCACGCCTTCACGTTGGCCATAGGGGATTACGCGTCATTTCGGGAAAATGGGATCATCGTGAACTTGCCAATTGGCCGGATGCACGTTCATGCCTCCTGTATTGTTGGAACATTTCACGATCAGGCGCTGTAAATGGGTGTGCGCATTGGGCATAGTGCTTGTATGGAGTTATACAAAATGGTTCAATGCACGAATGGCGGTTAAGCCAAGTATAGGTGGACTTCTTTTGGCAATTAGGATGCGAATGGGAACAAGGGATGTTCTTTGGAATGTACCGTCAACGAAACTTCAAACATCAATGGCAACTTTTGTCCAGTCACACCAAGGATTCACACAGATATCGGACGGATTTTGGCTTGGAGACAGATCGACCGAAGCACTGCAATAGAAATGATAGATTCCGTGCTTCCCGTGTCAACAATGAACTTGTGCGTGTTGCCGGACTGTGGTGTCACATCTCTGTATAGGAAATGGGTACATTGGCTT